TCAAACCTTCATCTTTCCCGTTGAAAAGCTCAAACGACGGCCACCTCTCTTTCTCAGAGCATTAATTGCGTCTCAAATCTACATTTAATGCTCTGATCAGGGGCGTCGTTCCAACGTATAACGCATTTAATGTTTTGATAAAACGTAATGTGTCAGCATACAACGCATTTAATGCGTCTGGCTGGCACTTATCACACGCAGGACACATCTGTCAGCATATGGACTGCTTCATTAAATGCACCTATATCAAAAGCACAATAGGTGACGCCTAACGAAATCAGGTCGCTCATCCTCTGTGAACAATGACCATGCGAGGACGTGTTCGCAAAAAGTGCCATCCCGACCTACTTTCAAACAGGTCAGAATCACCAGAATCTCCATAAATCATCCAATCGCGGCATGATTTATAGTTTCCAAGGTTCGATCATCAAACCTTAAAAACTAGGGGACTTCTGTTATGCCTAAAAATATAAGGGCTGACGTAATGTCCAATTAGCATGCAAAAGTCTGATCATGGGAACGCCCGCAGCCTGCTTCTGTCAGAATAGTGGGAGCGCGCCAGGCCAGCCAAGAGCTGTGACGATCCCAGGTGTTTAATCCCTGCTCCAAATCGTGCAAATCACTAAAGAAGGTGGGCAATGTGACATAAAGAAGGATTTTGTGCGGATAATCTCACCAACCCACAGATTCAGTGATGATTGCCTCGATCCATTCCTCTATAAATTGAGAGCCCCTCTCTCATTGAGGGGGATTCGTATATTTTACATCTGATTAGCTACTCTCTCTCTCTCTCTCTATAATTTTTCAGCATTTGATACCTTGTATTACCATTGTAAAGTCAGTTAGTCAAAGCGACCTGACCCTTATCATCAATATAAGCATCAGTGGACGTATGACTTGCTACCTTAGCATCCGAACCACTTTAAAAACTGTCCCCATTGTATTTACTGTCATTTTCCTTTACATTCACGTGTATCTTTTAGGTCAGCTCAATATTTCACACGTATATTTTGTTGGTATAAAAATCACGCATCAATACACTCATTTCCATTTTGACGAAAATGCCCCAATTATAAACCCAATTTTCCTCCATTTAAGAAAATCAAACTCCAAAACCGTCAATTTCAATTTCAAAACCCCCCGACCATTTGTAGTGTTTTCCAGTTCACAACTAAAGATTTAGTGTGGATTTTGAAGTTTTTTGGGTGAAAAAAGTGGTAGGGAGAAGAAATCCAAGCGAAATCGATTTTTCTTTTTAAGATTTTAACACATTTCTACAAGTAATGACATACGACAATACAATTAAGGTTTACATAATTACATACCGTCTCGCCAATTGTTGTATTCACATATGTTCGCTAATTGTCTACGCTTCCTCTGTTCGTCTCCATCTCTGAGCTCGACGTCTACCTCGAATGAAGGCGTACTCCGAGCTTCATAATTGGTCCTAGGTTGGAGACCTCTACCATATAATTTGGTATTTCAATTTAAATTGTATGAAAATCATTATTTGTACAAAACCCACCACGATGAAAAACAATATTAAAAAAAAGGTCTTCTGAATTCATATATACAATATTTTAAGTTCACGAGATCGGTGATCAAATAATGGGAGTCATGTTGAGAAATATAGATCAATAAACTACAAGTTCAAAGGTGTTGACCCACTTATTGAATTTCGTGGTAAAAAAAACATAGTGGCAAATAAAATTTTAACGTTGAGTTGGGCAAATCCAATTCACCGATGAGGAAAAGGTAATATTTTGTCAAATTCCGGCAAATTTTGTCATTGATAACAAGAAAATTGTTGATTTCTTGACTTAACTATTTTATTGAATAGTTCAAAATAATTGGTGTACCAATTAGATTATAAACAAAGTAGTAAACATTGTTTAATATAATGGTCTATTAATTAATTATCCAATCGTGTTAGATATTAAAGAAAATTTACTAAAAAAAATAAAACATTTAGTAAACTCTATAATCTAATCATGGTTTATAATTTACATGATTGAGACCGCTTTTTCTTGTTTTCAACTAAGTAGTGTGGCAACCAGCCAACCACATAATTATAAAATTGAGGCTCCCATACAACAAATTAAATAATAGAGAAGGGGGTCAAACTGATTGGTTCCCGATTATTATTTTTATACTCCCCCGACTTGGAGTTTATTAAGGCTGCACTTGGACCATTATTTTAATATTTTTTAGAATAATATTTTGAAAAAAAAATTGGGTAGTTATTATGATGTAGGATTTGAAAATTAATAAAAATAACTCTAGATTTGTTTATTTATTAAACATCCCCATAATAATTTTTTTGAAAATTAACAAAAATACTTTCACTCACCCATTAAATACTTACAGTCGGCTACCACGGTCGAAAGGTGGCCAAAGTCGTCGTATCGGTGTACGATTGACTGGATATGGTCGGTAGTGCGTCGATATGGCCTTTTCTGACGGTTAGATCTGGCTATTGACGGTCAGATCTGACGCATTTGGTCGTCAACGATTAGTTATGGTCAAACCGTAGATCTGGTCGAAAAAGACTAGATCGACGCACTACCGGTCAGATCCAGCTAGTAGTACGTTATTATACCTTATTTCGACCAACTTTTGACGGTGGTGGCCGGAATCTGGCAAATGTGGGTTGCTAGGCTGTTTTTATCAATTTCTAAAAAAAAAAATTGAGGGGTGTTTAGTTAAATTAACAAACCTAAGGGGTTTAAAAAGAATTGAATAAAATAGAATAATATTTTGAGAATAAGGAAATAAATGGGTATTTTAGATAGGATAGGGAATATGGTAGGGAAAAATTGTGTACCAAAGGGCCCATAGAACTTATTTTTTGTGTTTTATTGAAGGTCAAAATTAATAGTTCTAATACATCGGCGTCACTGAAAATGAAAATGTTTAATAATTAAGAGAAGGTTACAGAAGAAAAATGTGCACCATAGAAACTGATTTTTTTTGTGTGGTAGGAGCCTCGACTACATCAATCTATCCAGCAGAACGTGTGGTTCTAATAATTTTAATAATTGAGTTATATAATTTATTCAGAATATTTTGTTATTTATACTCATACATATGTAGACTTAGATTTATTTAATGTTATCATACCATTTATTATTCTTATCGATAAGATGGTTACAGTTTTAATTTTTTGTTGTTTTAATTTATCTATTATTTACGATTTATAAAATTAAATAATATTACATATACAAAAAAATTAATACGAAGTTTTTTCATATATTATTTTCTATCATTTAATATGGAGTTATTAATTCAAATTTTTATATTAATTTATTGTTTATAAAAGATTTTGTGATAAATTTTAATATTATACGATATTAGTGCTATAATATTACAGAATTTCTTTATAATACAAGAAAATTGGGAACTTAAATTCTAGAAACATCAGCTGTAAAGTGGGTATTTATTTAGATGTTAATTACAAAATGCCATGCTTCATGCCTTTTTGTGCAGCCAGCCGTTTACCATCCTAAAAATTAATATAAAATTGTATTAATTATTGCTCGAAATTTGATGGAATAAATTTAGTGAATATCTAGAGGGTCCTACAGGTTTCGATGTTCCCATGGTGGATGGCTATGATTTTTCTACAGAAAATGACCCTTGCTATTTGTTTGTTTACTTGGTCAATTTTCATGATTAATATTCTTATATACTTGGATGGATTTAAAAAATGTTTTTGTCTCTCCTTTACTGTCGCTTTATCGATTGCTACAAATTTCATTATTTTTAACCCTATAGATGATAATTGTATTCGATACATTTCAAGATTTCTTGAATCGGTTTCATTGGAATCATCTAAAACTATTTCAATTCTTTTATTTTTCAACCTCAAACCACAAAGAATTTTTATTGTTTTACGCCTAGATGCTCACATTCACAATAGAATAATACCCAATAAATTACAAAAAAACAAAAAAAGAGTAAAGGATTTTTTCCCACCTAATGTTTGCCTTAATGACACTTTTTCACCTAACAAGTTTCAAAATACTACTTTTTCACCCAAAGTTAATATTTTGTTACTACCCAAAGCCGATTTCGGCGGTAAAAATTCCCTTTCGTCACCACTATTTGAACCTCCGATCTTCTTTCTATAAAACTCCTCTCACTTCGGCACCTAATTTCCTCCCGATTATTGGTCATTGCAAAGTTAAGGTTTCTTGTTTTTATTTGATTTCTGGTTGATTCCGATAGTGAATATTTAATCGGTCACCACCATTTGATCCACCGGTCCCCACTCTACAAAGCCTCTTACTTTGGCTCTTGGTAATTCGTCGAACGTGAATGGTGATGACTGATTGGATATCTATCGTCGGAATTAGTACAGAGAAAATGATTTTGTAGAGTGAAGGATGGTGAATTGAATGGTGGTGACCGATTGGATATCCATCATCGAAATCAACTGGAAATTAGCTAAAAACAAGAAATTCTAGATTTATGATAGTCGACAATCGACAAAAAATTAGATATTAAAGTAAGAAGGGTTTTGTAGAGAACAGACCGGAGGTTTAAATGGTAGCGATGTAGAAAATTTTTGCTACCAGAATTTATCTGGAATCAGCTTTAGGTATTAATAAAATATAAACTTTGAATAAGAAAATAGTATTTTGAAACATTTTAGGTGGAAAGTATTGTTAAGGCAAACCTTGGGAGGGAAATAGTCGTTTAATTGTAATCGATACATTTCAAGATTTCTTTGGATCGGTTTCATTGCAATCATCTAAAACCACATAGAATTTTACTTGTTTTACCTCTTGGACTATGACATAAATTAATAACCCAGAACGTTGTTTAATTTGATTGGGCGGTGCTTACGTGTCAAAGACAGTGAGAGCTTATTAAGCGTTACGTGGGGTGGGTGTAAAGATGGCCAACATAGTAACGCATGAAGACGCAATCTATATAAGATTGTGCCAAATGGACGGTAAAGATCCACCCCATTTCACATCAACTGTACTATAAATGCAAGTCAAGGTCGCTTCTTAACAACTCGTCTCATACTCTGAATCTGAATCTTCCTGTGAACTCAAATCCCCAGTTTAGTCTTTGCAGATCTTCTCTTCTTCACCAAGAAAATGTCTTCTGGATGCAACTGTGGCTCTAGCTGCTCGTGCGGCAGCGACTGCAAGTATGTAACATGATATATTTTCACTTTTAGTTCCTTTAGTACTAATTTAATTTAACCAGTTAATTTGTTCCTGATCTTGGTGTTTGACATGTATGCAGATGTGGCAAGTACTCTGACCCGTCTTTCTCGGAGATGAACACCACCGAGACCCTCATCGTTGGGGTTGCTCCTGTGAAGATGTATGTAAAGATTATGCATTGAAAAAGCTTCAAACTTCAATTTTTTTTCTTCATGATAATAATCTGGAATTTTACTGATGCTGTAGGTTCTCTGAGGGATCTGAGATGAACCATGGAGCTGAGAACTGCGGTTGCGGAGCCAACTGCTCCTGCAACCCCTGCAAATGTGGGAAGTGAAATATGAACATACCCGGATAAAGCAGCTATAGTTTATGTTATGTTATGTTATGTTATTTAAATAAGGAGAAACCCCTTAGGTCTTTGATGTAAATAAGAAAGCCAAAGGCTACATCAAATATATCCTTTGTTGGATATGTTTTGTTGTAGCTCATTGGCTATAGTCTGTGTCTTTGTAAGGTTTGTGTTATCGCTGCTTTTAACATGGGAGTTCAATGTATTTGTGAAAGGAATTGGTGAATTCTGTGAAATCAATGAGTAACTTATAGTTTAATACATCTCCTTTCAGTTATGTCTACTATAATCTTGCTTCTCTCGGTTTCTAATTTTCTATTCTTATATTTTATACTCCCCCGATTTCTGGTTTAATTTTGTCATATTGGAAGTCAAATTTAGTGGTTCAAATACATTGGTGTCACTTGAAAATGTGATAATGAAGAGAGTAAACGATTATTTCCCACCCAAGGTCTGTTTCTTACTCCTCCAGGTCACTAGGTTGGTGTTAGCAGCGGGGAATTTGAGGCTGGAGGGTGGCTGTTAGTGGAGTGATGGACCCATGTTGATAGTTTGACTGTTGTGATAGCCGTAGTGACTGGACCTGGATAAGGCGGTTCAGGATAAACATCTAATAATAGGCCCAGCGGGAATAAATAATTAGAATAGGATGTGCGCAAAGGAAGGAAACTAATATTGCCTTCATGACATTTTGCCACCCAAAAAGTTTTAAAATACCTTTTTTTTTTATCCAAAGTTAACGTTTAGTTGCTACTCAAAGCTAATTCTGGTCGATTCCTATGGCTTCTCCGTCACCAATATTTGAATCTCCAGTTTCTTCTCTATAAAATCTCTTTCATTTTGGTATTTGATTTTTTATCGATTATCGGTCATCGTAAAACTAGAGTTTCTTGTTCTTAGTTGATTTTTAGTTGATTCTGACATCGAATATTCAATCAGTCACCATCATTGGATCCATCGGTCTCCACTCTACAAAACACACTTTGCCCTGACTTTTGATAACTCGCAGAACACCATCTAAGAAAGTGAAGTGTATTTTGGATAAAACACATTCTACCTTGGCTCCTGATAACTTGCAGAGCACCAATTAAGAAAATGAAGTGTATTTTAGATATTAACGGAAGGGAGAATGACATTTTCCCACCCAAGCTGTGGCAAAACGACCCTTTCACGCCCTCAAGTTTCAAAATGACACATTCCCACCCTTCGTTAGGTTTTGTTATGTTTTCATTAATATTTTACTAAAAAAAACGAAAAATACATTTAAATATTTAACTTTATAAATTTTTTTACTAATTTTTAATTAGCTAAAAAGTCAAATATTAAAAAGTAAAAAAGAAAAAATAATTAACCCAACCTAAAAAAGTTTGGAGTAATACTATGGAATTGATTAAAGTTAAATGATTTTAATATTTATTTATTTATAATGATATTAATATCCCATATAATATAATATTTTTTATTTTTACTAATTAACATAGAAAATTAATATTTCTAATTAATTAAATAAAAAAAAATGATATTTTTATACTTGAACTAATAAATAATCGAATAAAGACTTTGACTTAACGAAATTTTAATTTATAATAAACTATTTAAGAGTATTTTTATCTTTTCAGCCAAATATTAACAGAAAACATTAATAAAACTTGACGAAGGATGAGAAAATATCATTTTGAAATTTGACAAGTGGAAAAGTATTATTTCACCAAACTTTATGTGGGAAAATGTCATTTTCATATAAACTTTAGGTGAAAAAATATTATTTTAAAATTTTATAGATGAAAACAGTGTCATCAAGGCAAACTTGGCTGCGAAAAAACGTGTACTCTAATGAAGATAAGGTTATAGAAGAAAAATTGTGCAGCATAGTAAATTTTATTTTATTTATTATTGTTATTATTATTTTTTATCTGTGTTAAGAGCCTCAAGGCCTTCAACCCTCAATCGACATCGAGTAGAACGGTACATATAATTTAACGTCATACGTATGTATTTTATTCAAGACTTTGATTTATTTAATCTTATCATACCTTTTAGAACACTCATCAATAAGATAATTACTCCTTAGGGGCCGTTTGGTTCAGTAATGTTAGATTACTGGAAATATTGGATTATTGAAAAGATAAATTACCTTAGAAGATTACTGGAAAACTTTAAGAAAATGTATTTGGTTAGTTAGTGGGTATGTTATATTAATATATTTTGTTATGGCAAATAAATTAGTGTGTATGTTATTTAAATTACTAAATTGTTCCTCTTTTAAATATTAATATAATATTATTTTTATTATTAATTTTTAAATAATTTCTTTTAACCCCTAATATTTCAGATTTAGCTAAAACACCCCCGCTTATACAACACTTTAATTTATGATGAAATCACCCTCACCTCCTGCCGCCACTGCAAACTACTGCCAGAAGTCTTTGAAAATCCCCGTGAGTACTTCACCGTGACCAAGAGGCTCTGATATGGTCGTTTCTGGCCATATTGATGGCCCAAAACGGCCAGATCTAGTTATTAACGGCCATGGACTTGGTTGTTAATGGTCAGATCTATTCTAGCCAGATCTCGCCCAGACCTGGCCAAAAATTGCCAGAATAGTTCTGGTCATTTCTGGCCAGATCTGGCCTGATATGGCCGTTTTCGACCATCAATATGGTCGAAAACGGCCATATCAAAGCCTCCCAGAGCCTCCCATTGAATCTCATTTTTTTTTAGGGACTCCAACGATTTTCCGGTGGCGATCTGTGGTGGTTGGCCCACTGTCGGCGATGGTGGCTGGGTGGCAGTGGTGGTCTGTAAATTATTTTAAATATAAGGGCATTATTGTCCAAAATTTAAATTAAACAAGGATAAAATTGAAATAGGATATTAATGTAAATTTGTTTTAAAGTAGGGGTATTATTGTCCAAATTTTTATTAATAAGGGATGAAATTATAACAAAAAAAATAACTCTAGTAATTTTAGAATACTCAAGAAAATAGAGATAATCAAATTACCTCCAATATTATTAATAGTGTTAATAGTAACCACTATTGGTATTTGAAGATTATCGATATCTTATATTATTTGACAATTAAATATGGTAATCAAATAATATAAGATAATATAACCCAAATAATCTCATGTAACCACCAACCAAATGTCCTCGTAATTTATTAATATATATATATTTTTTTTGGTTGATATTGATTGAATTAATATAATTTCTGGAGGGTCCTACCGCCTACGGGATTTCGATATTCCCATAGTAGATGGCCAAGATTTTTCTATTAAAAAAATTGGCCCTGTTTCTATTCGTTTACTTGGTCAATTTTCATGATTAATATTCTCCTTTACTTAAATGGATTTAAAGAATCTCAATGTTTTGTTTTAATTCTCCATCTCTCCTTTTCTTCCACTCTGACATCAGAGATAATATACATCACATCATATCATATCATAATTATATTAATACATTTTAAATCTCTCTCCCCACTAATTTTTATCTGGAGAAAAAGACTTTAGTTATTTAAATCAATCATCTAAAAGTCTTGTTGGAGTTTTACAAAATTATCATCTATCACGTTTATCATCCAAGATTGGCCATTTGGCCTGACTACCTTGATTATAAAAAAATAAAAAAAATAAAACCAGTTTTACTTCTTGTTAACAGTGAGAGGTAAGTATAAATTTTATTACACGTTACGAGGAGTGAGTATAATGATTAATGACAAGAAGTATCGTAACACATCAAGACACAACTGATATAAGATTCTGCCAAATGGACGGTTAAGATTAATCTCTTTCACATCTCCTGCATTATAAATAGCATTGCAAGGGCGCATTTCCACATCTCATCCCACACACCGAGTCTTTCAGTGATCTCAAATCCCCAGTTCAGTACGTCTTTGCAGGTCTTCTCCTTTTCACTAAGAAAATGTCTTGCTGTGGTGGAAACTGTGGCTGTGGTGCCGGCTGCAAGTGCGGCAGCGGATGCGGCGGGTATATAGTCCATTATATTTTTATTTTTTACTTTTTTTAGATGTTCTAATTTTTGTGAATTTAGTTTAATTTTACTTGTTAATTAGTTTCTGATCTTTGTCTTTGACATGCGTGCAGATGTGGCATGTACCCTGACTTGTCTTTCTCGGAGACCACAACCACTGAGACCCTCATCGTTGGGGTTGCTCCTGTGAAGATGTATGTAAAGATCATGCAAATAGTAACCAATTCATTGAAAAAGTTTCGAACTTTAATTTTTTTTCATGATAATAATCTGGAATTTTACTGATGTTGTAGGTTCTCTGAGGGATCTGAGATGAACTATGGAGCTGAGAACTGCGGCTGCGGAGCCAACTGCTCCTGCAACCCCTGCAAATGTGGGAAGTGAAATATGAACGTACCCAGATAAAGCAGCTATGGTTATCTGAAGTTAAATAAGAAGACAACTTAGGTCTCTTTGCTGTAAATAAGAAAGCCAAGGCTAATACAAAAATCCTCTGCTGGATTTTGTTGTAGAGCCTTGGCTAGTCGGTGTCTTTGTAAGGTTTGCGTTGCCGCTGCTTTTAATATTGGGAGTTCCATGTATTTGTATTTCTGAAAGGAGTGGGTGGATCTGTGAAAATCAATAGAGTAATGCATCTCCTTTCAATAATTATGCTGTACTATTGCTATACTTTTGTTTCTCTGAATTTGTGTCATGTTGTTTTCATAATTTGAAGTTAGGTGGATCTGAAAATCCTTTCTGACCTAATCTTCTTATCTTCTTGGGAGACGTGTATGTTTTTTAATTTTTATGTATAGATATTCTAAATTTCCTGCTAAAGATGACAAGAGTTTGTCTTCTTTCTACTTTTAACCTTTTTCAATCATAGAAGAAAAGAAATGTCATATTTACGCAGATTAATCGCAAAATCTTGCAGAGGACCTGCATGGTATTGTAACTTGAAAGCGATCTAAATTTGTAAACTGAGAAACCAACGAGTAATTATTGCAGAACTTTCTAATCTCAGAAAATGAATGTGGCACTGATATTTCTGCGGGCACAAATCCCTAACAGAAGTACACAGAACACTGAAGGGAGCGAAGACCCCAGAAATACAAGTATACACACGCGAGTTAGAGAGCGAAGGCACCAAATCCACCGCAGATTTCCTTTTGTCGATAAGAAGTGTCTTTTGGTATTCGATATCTTTTATGGATTTGTGTAGAAAAGTGTTAACAAAAGATAATAAATTTCAAAAGTTAATAATTAATTGAGGTCTGAATTTCTTACAGGGAGCCCTGATGGGGCAGCAGATTGGTATCCCTTCCATTTTAGCCTCCAGGCTCCAGCAAGGACTGACAGTGAGGTTTCCATCCATCAAATCCAGTTAATTATCTGTTTTATCATATTATGAAGTCAATCAAATTCTTCATAAGTCAAGACTAACTTAGAAAACTCTGTAAACAGATTCTATAATTGGTGGTTAATATTTTTTTATTCTTCATTTAGAATATTATTATAATTATTACCTTGAATGTTTTTATGTTTTCAAGTTTATAGTCTGATTTTTATATCTTTAATTACACGAAAGCAATTATTAAGTGTCACCATCTTATTTTTAAAAGAGTACACGGCTTTCTCCCACCGAAGATTGCGTTAATGACACTTTTTTCACCTAGAAAGGTTTTAAAATATAAATTTATTATATAAATTTTATATTTGTTTACTACCTATAATATATTTTCTAAAAGCAAACTCTGTCTAGGCTATCGAGGCTTTTGAAGAGGAGATATTATTGAGTCTTTTAGTGGTGACAAATTAAATTTTAGTAATTAGAATTGATCAGAATCTGACTTAGAGAGGGGCGGTTGTGCATCCCACAAATTGCTCAATTTTCGATGATTGACAGGGTTAGTTAAAGCAATGTTTGAAGGGTTTTGCTAAGTGATAATTGGGGAAGAGAATGGTGATGGTGTGCAGTCGTAATGGTGCCAGAATTAGCCGGCGATTGATCGGAATATAAATTTTAGGTAGTAAATTGGTATTTTGAAACTGTTTGGGTGGCAACGTCACTAAGGCAAACCTTGGGTGGGAAAATGTCGTTTACTCTTTTTAAAATATAAATTTGAGATCGTATGCAAGGAGTGATTTAGAGATGACAATGGGCCCGGCCCGAAAAGGTCGGGTTTTACCCGGTACTCGCGGGCTTGGGCTTGGGCCTGATTTTAAGGCTTGACCTCGGGTACGGGCCAGACCTAGGTATGTCTTCAGGCTTGACCTAGCCTCGCCCGACAATTTTAGTATTAATTTTACTAAATTATCTTTATACTATATATTTAATTACGAGATTATCTTACATATATATACCCATTTTTCCCAAACCCTAATCAAATTGAGTATTCAAAAATAAATAAATATTTAAAAACTATTTTTAGACTATTTTTAGAATTAAAAATATAAAAAAAAAATTAAAATTTATTCATATTTAAAAATTCACATTATAAAAATGGACGGGCTTGGGCTGGGCCTGAGGTTACAAAACCCGTCAGGTTGGGCTTGGGCTTTATATATCATACCCGTGACAGGCCTGAGTTGGCTTGGACCTTTGTCATGAGGTCAGGATTGGGCTTGGGCTTGGGCCAAGGGGTACCCGATCCCGACCCAGCCCATTGGCATCACTAGAGTGATTTATTATGTTTTCAATATGATAATAAATAAAGGGTATATATTACAAGTCAGTGAACATGAAACATTACTTCTCGTAGTTTGCCTTTGTCTTTGTCCCAAACCCAAATATTTGGATTGATTTCTCTGTCCTTCTAAATTGATTAATTGACATATTGTAACGGGATTGAATCAAAATTAAGTTTCTTTAACTGATCAAAAGAGGAAAAGCATGCAAACATTTGCTCTTTTGGGCCAACGAAGATTCATTCAGGCAATACGTCGAACAATTTCAATCACCTCTTCATTTTCCAACCAAACAGCTACTGGTTTCAATTTTCTTTGCACCCAACCAACCAATGACGTCCCGGAGAAAAGTTTTGAGGAAAAACAACAACAACAAACCAAGTGCTTGTCTTTAAGAATTGAAAGGCTACCAAGAGGCGAACCAATTGGGTCCGCATTTCAAAGCTGGATGGGTGAGGGCTTTCCCATACACAGAGGGGACATTTTTCACGCTATTAATCGTCTGAGAAAGCTTAAACTGAACAAACGGGCTCTTGAGGTACTCTGTTTTAATCAGTTTTGCTTGCTTTTAAATATATTTGTGCGGAAACTTATAAAGCAATGAACATGTTTGTTTAAATGTTTGACTGAATTCTTTTAGGTGCATAGATACGTTATTTGGATTATTTGTTTTCAAAAACTGTCATAAATTTGATGGAATTTTTATAAAATAAAATGTATGTGAAGTGTTTTATTACTTCGACAGGTGATGGAATGGGTGATCAGAGAGAGACCCTATATGCCTAAAGAATTAGACTACTCTTATCTGTTGGAATTCACTATTAAACTTCACGGGATATCACAGGGTGAGAAGCTCTTTTGCTGTGTCCCGTCGGATTTTCAGAATGAGTTGCTTTATAACAATCTTGTTATCGCTTGCTTGGACAAAGGCGTGATAAAGCTGTCTCTTGCATACATGAAGAAAATGAGGGAATTGGGTTATTCCATATCATATTTGGTCTTCAACCGTCTAATAATCCTCCACTCATCTCCAGGCCGGAGGAAAACCATCCCGAAAATTCTCACAGAATGAAGGCTGATAAGTGTTGCCACATGTGTCCACCTACAACATTCTAATGAAAATTGAAGCTAATGACCATAATTGAAGGGTTGGTGAAGGTTTTTGGTGATAGAACATAAAAGGTTGAACCAAGTGAAGTATCTTATTGCATCTTGGCTACTGCGCATGCAGGTGCAAGGTTGTACACTGTGGCTGAAGCCTTATTGAGCAGTGGAGAAGTCTATGACAGGGAATAATTGGTCAACCCTGGTGTCTTATCATATTGACGGATATATGGGGAAAGGAGAGGATCTAGAGAGGATTTGGGGCATTGTGAGAGAACTCCCTAATGTTCGGTCTAAAAGTTACATATTGGCAATTGAAGCATTTGGTAGAATGGCACAGCTAAATCGGGCTGAAGAGCTTTGGTAGAAATGAAGACAATGAAAAGTTGAAAGCACTGAGCAGTTCATTCCATGATCATATATTGCAAACATGGGTTAGTGATAGCCTATGGGCTTCTCAAGGAAATTGAGTTGAATGGTTGCAAGCCAAATTCCATAACTTATCGACATCTTGCTTTGGGTTGCTTCAAAGTAGATATATTCAAGGAAGGGATGAAGACTCTGGGATTGGGAATGGAATTGACAACAAAAAGGTCAGGATTCAACTCCATGGTTGGAGACCACTCTTTCAATAATTGAGATTTTTGCAGAGAGGGTATGTTGGGAATGCTGAGAAGTTATTTGATGAACTTAAGAAAGCTAATTATACCAGGTATACTTTTGTGTACAATACTTGATCAAGGCTTACGTGAAGGCCAAAATTATGACCCAAATATTTTGGAAGGATGATTCTAGGAGGGGCGAGGCCTGATGCTGAAACCTATAGCTTATTGAAACATGCTGAACAGTTTCAAATCAGAAGATAAACTTGTGTGACAGATAAATTTATTATTCTTTTTGACTGATTCTTCTTGTAGAAATACATAGATTTTTTTAATCTATTATTGTTGTAGTTGAAGAAATATGATAAACAAGATGGAAAAAGTTTGGTAGCATTATCGTGTTAAGTATGGGGAAGATAGTCTTGAAATTTTTGTTGAATGTATATCTCTGCTACTTGCTAAGTTGGTTTGCCTTTCAGAGCTGACTGCTGAGAGTAAAACAGGTAAAACTCCTTGCGGAACCCTTTCAGTTGGAGCTATCTATGAGAATTGAAAACTTCTTAAATCATGGGCCCTTACTGGCTACTTGCAGTGACAGTTACTTGTTATCCGAACATGGGTTTACATTATGGGTGGGGGTATGCGTGGCACATGGATTTCCATGAAGCTGTGGAAATAAAGGGCTGCAGCTTTGATTTTCTGATACCATTCGCATCTGCTAAGTTTACGAGTATATGGCAATCAATTACTTTCGGATGGTGCATGATCGATGCAGTTCTAACTTAGTATAGCCAGTTTCTCATGCGATGCAGTTTTCTATCCCTTTTAAGTAGCCAGCTTTTGAGAAACAGGTAGATGTGAAGAATAGAACCATTAAATAATTTACTGGAAAAAACTGGTTTTGAAGAAGACAATTCTGATCTCCTATATGATAGCAATTAGCCTTTTCACTTTTAGTCTCGGATTTCAGTATTTTTGTGCTCCACGGGGTGGTCTAAATAACATTCAACGCATTTCTAAAACCTCTGCTCAAAGAATGTGAACAATGGCATGAGCCTTAGAAATGAGAACTATTATGATGCACCTTACTGCTCATAACATCAGTGTGATATTTTTTTCAGGTCCCTGTCCTTCACCAGTGGCATGATAACCTTCTATTGAACTGTATTTTTGATTGCTTCAGAAAGTTATTATAACCTTCATCATAATAAAACGATATTATTTAACCAAGGTAAAAATTCTAATTTGAGGAAAAAAAAAAAAAAAAAAAAATGTCACTGCTGGTTTTTCAACTCAGCACACCATCTCTGTCCTTTAAGCAAAGACTTTTACAACCAGATGAGAAATGTCTTCGTTATTTTGACATTATTATGGTTCTTATGAAGAGATGAGAGAAACATAAACATAAAATAACTACTCGAGATAAAGAAAGAACTTCAATTCCCCGTTTCAGGTGAGGTAACTGAGGAATTCTGCAGCAGTTGCAATGGCTCCTCCTGTGATGGCATCTATCACAACCTTGTCTTTGCTTTTGTTGGTAGCTGCTGAGATCAGAGCCCCGGTCAAAGCACCCCCAACCATGGCATTCTTCTGCAATTTATCCAAAGACACAGAAAATAGAGGGAGTTAGAATTATTAGTTGAAATAGATATAGAGAGAAATCCATCAAATAAATTTGCAAGTACTTATGATTAACCAATGCTTCACATTTCACAACAATTAAACAACGGGAGATTGAACATTCTTATAACTAACAGCGACGAAGAAATACAGTTCAGCCAAATACAGTGAACATACCCAGTCTTTGGTTCCACGAAGCCTTTCTGCTCCATACTCCATTCCCACATAAACTCCAGCTACAGTTCCTGTTGTTGCACAGATTAAGATATTAAAGCTTTCCTCATTTCTTAAAATAAAGAATGCCAAGAATTTGTCCAGGAACGTTACAAAATCTTTGACAGAACATATTTTTATATGTGACAATACGATATATACAATACCCTTACCCCAATATGCACCTTCTTTACACATCTTCTTCAACTGCAATAACAGCATTTTCCATTAGAACTATAATATATATTTTTTTTTTATGCTTTTCCGATGTCAATACTGTTTCTATTGTGTCAAAAAACTAATGAACACTTTTGATTAAAAAGGAAAGTATTTTCGAGCGGTGAGATGGGATCAAACAAGGCAATCCATGGATTTAACAATCAACTATTCTGAATAATCTCTAGAATTCCTTCGAAGCAAAAATATAATCTCAAAATATCAATACTCACACTTTTCTCCAAATTGTGACTCGAAAAACTCCCTGAAAATAGCCGAAAATAACTGATGAGTCTCAAGAATGTTAAAATGTCCTTGTTTAAAGCAAAAGGAGAGAAAAGATTACCGCTTTTGACGATGTGAAATGCATCCTCTGCGGCTGATCTTGCAGCTGCCACCTGAAAACACCAAACACCGATCGATGGATTAATTTAAAAGATACAATGAATGAAGATTAAAAGAAAAATAAACAAGAAATAGAAGAAAATAACTGAAAGATTACAGTTCCAGCCTTCAAGAAACCATCGACGGTGACATTGAGAAATGGATTGCCCATGTCTATAGCCACATCAACTTTCGGGGCTGATAAAGAACCTGAAAACCTGCTGCTCGGCATCTTTCTTGTTCTTTTCTTCACTCACACTTTCACTTGGCTCTGATATTTTTCTCTTCTGAATGTTAACCAGATCCTACTAATACTATGTTTGTTTGCTTATAAAGGACGGTGTTGAAACGTGGTTGTTATTAGGACGCTACATTTGTCACGGTATTTTCTTTGAATTTTTTCTTCAGTATAAACCCTTTTGTAATATCTGATAAAGCATTTAGAAATATCATTTAAAAATTGAATTTTTGTTTTGAATCCCGATAGACGATAAAGTGGGAACTGAACATGATCATCGAAATTATTTGATTCAGTTGGTAAATGATAGCTTTGTCTGGGACCTGGATCCCCTGTATAATTTTCAGCGGTTTGTATGAGCTTTTGTTGTCACATCCATTTAACCTTTTTATACCCTGCTTTATCAATTGATGCGATAAAGCATTTTGGCTTCTTATAGCAAGTTCTAAATTTATATGATATTTGTTTTTTATTTTTTTTATTTTTTTTATTATTTTTATTATTTTTTTTATATTTTTTTATTTTTTTTTTTATAATTTTATTTTTTTTTAATTTTTTTTTTTTTATTAAATTATTTTTATTTTATTTTTTTTTTTTTTATTAATTTTTTTTTTTCTTATTATTTATATTCTTTCTTTTTTTAATAGTTTTTTTTTTTTAATTATTTTTTTTTTTTTTTCTTTTTTTTTTGTTTTTTCTTATTTAATATTAATTTTTTTTTTATTTTTTAATATTTTTTTTTTTTAGTGTTTTTTTTTTTTTTTATTTTATGTTATTTTTTTTTTTTATTTTTATGTTTTGTTTGTTAGATTGTATTGTATTCGTATCATTTTTCATTTTATTATAATTCATTTTGAAATGAAATGAAAATGGTTCATTAGAGGCTCAGCTTTGATCATGTTAATGCAATCTTGATGCTTGTGTTACTTTTTACTCTGTTTTGAGTACTATAAAATTTCTAGTCAGTCTTATGATTTTTGTTCTTAGATTCAATGAAAGATTTCAAACATTGGAGGAACAATCTAAATAAACTCATCCGCCATAAATTATGCAGTAATTTCTTACAGAGCAAGAGATTGCTTCCATGAAATAGATGCAGCTCAAATTGAGTAAACGGGTATTTGTCTCCAACTAATTCTTCCACCAGCCGTGAAATGGAATGAATAGATATGACCCTTCTGCACAATTTCATGCCCATTATCAGGTCTGAACATGGGCGCCGGAAACACTGGCCAGGCACTGTCTCCATCCACTTGACAAACACTTTCATTTTCTCCAACTAAAACCCACACCTCCTTCCCAACTCTCACCATTCTTGCCCCATATTGCCTCACCCTTAACCTCTCGACTTGTTGGTTCGGAAAGAAACTAATCAGTCTCCACCCTCCAATGTTCAGATTAATCAATTTATTCCACATCCAGAGTTTCACTCCTAGCCAATTTGACCAAGTGAGCAGTAACAAACGGGAGTTCAATGATGCCACAGCAAACCCATCAGCCTCCTTAGGAACAAATGATTCCAACAACTGCCATGAGTTTTTGCTGGGATCGTAAATTTCAGCTGAGCGTTTGAGGGTTGTGCCACCACCCACGATGCAGAACTTGTTATTGAGAGCAAGGCCTGTTCCAAAAGCCCTTGGTATATGCATTGGTGGTAGTGCTTGCCATTCCCACGTCTTCAGGTTCAACTTCTCCGCCAAATTTAGATACTCTGCAGGTTCAACATCTGTAGAAACCAATGAAATAAAAAGGTGCTTAGACTTGACCTCGATGATGGAAATTCACCTTGAAAAAGAGTTAGCGAAATTATGGTTTTTTCCAAATTTTAGTATACATTAATTTATGGCGAAATTGAAAGACTAAAAATCTTCATATTAAAGGACTAAGTAATCATATTATGAAATACTGAATTTATTCAGGTTTCAATGAAACTATTTTGGGTATAACATAAAGGAAATTTTTTTGCAATGCTATGAAAATTGAATAGAAAGTTCTTTGCAGGCTACCCCTGATGTAAACTGATTTGAATTAAGAGATCTTCATCAATGATGGACTTGTTAATTCATCAATGGCTCTGCCCAAAATACTAAGTATTACAGTAATCTTTATCATAAAGGGCCAGTCTTAAAAAATATATACACATGAAATCAAGTATACACTTACCGGAAGGGCTCCCCTTAAACCCGCCTGCTAGGTAGAACCACCCATCAAAAATGGCACCAGAAGCACCAATTAGATTCCGATCCCCGCACTGCATTTTGGGGACATCTGTTAACATATTGCCTTCAAACGAATAACTACATAATGTAGCATGAAGATGAATACCAAGAGGCAGCTTGGCGCACAAAATTTGCTCAGACAGTACCGCAATAACTTGAATTCTAAACAATGGATTTCGAGGGACTGCCACAGAGTGGAATTGCATGGGAGAACATAGATATGCAAACCACTCCCATGAGTTGCACCAACACCTGTGTTGTTGCTTTTGATCATCATTTTGTTGAAGCTCTTTCGGGACTTGAACGATTGAAATGTTTTGAAAAATGCCACTGTCTGATACTGGAAAAATAGAATTATTTGAAGTGAAAATGGAAAGATCATTTGGTTCTGTATTGGAAGAGACATGAGGTGTTCTACTTAGGTACCACATTGGGTTACAGAAATCAAGATTTTTGGAGATCAAGAAGAGATATGGAATCAGGGCTTTTGGTATTTAACTGTGGATGGATTTAGTCGAGATTCTAGGAATAAAAGTAGCTCTATTTGTTTAGATTTTTTACGGGCTTAATTTTATTCGCCTAGTACAAGCGGCACAGCTGTTTGCTAATCAAATTTCCGTTAAATTTAACGTGTGAAGGGTATAATAGAATCACAAAAAGTTCTGGACAAATTCAATAGCCAGAACAACGGACTCGATACACTTTTAACTGATGTCGGGGTATATAATAGTTTACGGTAAAAAATTTTTACTGAAAATATTATATTAATGGTCCTTAAAATTACTTGAAATTTTTTGAAAAATATGTTTAATTAGTTAGAATAAATTAATATGGATATTATATTAATATGTTTAGTGGGCAGAAATAAATTGATAGGTATGTTATTTAAATTATTAAATTTTTTTTTTAAATATTAATATAATATTATTTTTAAATAGTTTTTTAACCCTTAATGTTTCAGATTTAGCTAAAACACCCATACTTATATAAAACTTAATTTATAACAAAATCACCCTCACCACCCCAAGCCACTGCCCGCTACTTGTCGTCGAAAGTCACCAAAAGTCACTAGACATCGCTGTGAGTAGCCGAGAGCCACCGAGAGGCTCCGATATGGTCGTTTGTAGCCATATTGATGGCAAAAAATGCCATATCGGAGTAGATCTGGCCATTACTACTGGCCATTTTCGGCCAGATCTACTTCGATATGGCCAGAAATGACCATATCGGAGTCTCTCGGTGACTCTTGGCGACTTCCAGCGGTGGTAGGTGGGTGGGGGTGGTGGTTTGGGTGGGCTGTAATTTGTTTTGAATTTAAGGATAATTTTGTCCAAAAAGTTAATTAATTGGGGTGAAATAGTAAAAGTCATATTCATGTAAATTAATTTAAAAATAAGGGTATTATTGTCCTAAAATTTTATTAATAAGGGATAGAATTGTAACAAAAATAAAATTACTTTGGTAATCTTACAATACTTAAGAAAATAAAAGTTATCAGATTATCTCCAATATTACCAACAGTAACTATTATTGGTATTAGAAAATTACTGAAATTTTATATTACTTGACAACCAAACGTGGTAATCAAGTAATATAAGATGACATAATATTAATAATCATATATAACCCTCAACCAAACGCCCCCTTAGGGTTTATACTCTTGATCATATTTCATACATGTAGTTAATTATGGTTTTATACTCCCTCCGTTTCAAAATATATCATTTTAGCAAATTACACACTTTTTAATATACTAACTTTTTTAATGTACACAATTTTTCTCTCTCATACTCCATCTCTTATTTACTCTTCCTTGTCAAATTGTGGTTTTTAGTTTTCCCGCCTATGTAAAAGTGTTGAAGTGTATTACTCTACCATCTCTGTTTTTTCACTACTCACCATGGCTTAACAATGCCATAGTAGAAGTGGAGGCAAGGCAATTAAATGCTATCAAAGCTACTTACTAGTGAGTTATTCAAGCCAGCGTTAAATGTTATCAAAACTACTTCTTCTGGTAATGTCATAAACAACGAGTGTACCAACAACACCACTATAGAAAGCAAAAGTAACAGTTTTGAACCTCTCTTGACTAGCAGTGTTCCAGATATGAAATTAGAGAGAAATGTGAAGAATTAAATGGCATTTGAAAGAGAAAGAGAAAGAGAGAGAGGAGACGAGGGGCCAAAGAGAGAGAGAGAGAGAGAGAGAGAGAGAGGAGACGAAGGCTAGAGAAAGAGAGGAGACAAGGACCATAAAACGAGAAAGAGAGAGAGAGTTGCTCAACTTTTTGGTCAAACAATATTTATTTTGAAAAGAAGTAATAAATTTAAAACGACATTTATTTGAAAACAGAGGGAGTATAAGATTAGTTCAAATTATCATGGAGTAAATAAAAACAAGATAAAGATATCAAACTTATAGCATAAATAACGTAAATGATTTGGGTGAAATAGTAATTTTTCAATTTATGTGATTAGGCCCAAGTTGACGGCCCTGTATGTCTCGAGTAGGCTTTTTAAAGGAAGAAGACCAGACGCCGACGTTTTAGCAAGTGAAGTATAAAATTGAAGCGTAAAGCCCCATTTCAATAAACCCTACTTCTACCTTTGGTTCACCGAAACAAGAGCAAGAAGAAGAAATAGAGAGGTGATTAGCGGAGGAGACAGGATCCAGTATGGACAAGAACATGTTAGCAGGACTCGAGGGTCTTCCTGAGCAAGACAAGGCCCGAATGACTTCTATGATTGATCATCTTCAACTGCGCGACAGGTTTTTTTTACATTTTTGTTCCCTTTAGATTCGCTTATTTCGAATTCTCTGCTTCTTG